TTGTTATTTTATTTTATTATTTTATTATTATTTATATATACACACACCCCTAGTGGAATAGCAATTTAACCGTGCCTAATTTAAACTCAGTATTAAGATTTTGAAGTCTGGTTCTAGAACCACATGGCTACTGGAGTGTCTCTGAATCCAGGAGAGGGACTAAAGAGTGAGGAAAAGGGGATGAGCCCTGCCAGATGTGCCACGCTATCAGACAGCAGGGATTGTGGCTACGGACTAAAGTGGGCAAGGGAGAGACTGTCCCTGAACCTATTTGCAGAAATCTCACCTCACAGGTATTTACACATCACATTTTTGGGCAGAAGTACTACTGTTTTCCAAACCTGGGGCTGCTTTCATCTTCCAAACCTGCCTGCCAAACTAAATAGGGTTTGTGAAGCCTGTTAACCCTCAGCATCTATCTCACTGTCCTGCTCCTGAAGGCCAGCTGCATTAGCTCATACAGAGGTTGTCATTATTTTTTTTAATTCTTTTTTTTTAAATCCACTCTGCTTCTAACTCTCAAGCTGCAGAGTTTCCTGATTTCAGCTGGGTCCTCCCATTTAGCACAAGGACAGACAAAAAACCCAACAATTTGAGGGTGGGTAAACCCTCAAGAGTTGACAAGTTCTGCACACACTGCCTAACATGGACAAAAAAAAATAAATAAATCTGGCTAATTCTTCTCTTACCTGTGGCTACTTCTTCTCTTACCTGCTTTTCTTATGATGCAAGAGGTGGATGCTGAGCCCAGGGAGTTTGTGGCCACACACGTGTAAATACCAAAATCATCGGCATTAACAGAAAGGATAGTTAACAGCTGGAAATTCTTGAGTGTGGCTGAGATGAGGATCCGACTGCTGCTGTGAACAGGTATCCCGTCTGAAAGCCAGGAGACAGGAGACATAAGTACCCTGCAAATTTGTACCGAGGTGTCTAAAACCCTCCCTGCACCCCTGTGCCAGAATCACAGAATGGTTTGGGTTGGAAGGGACCTTAAAGACCACCCAGTGCCACCCCCCTGCCATGGGCAGGGACACCTCCCACCAGCCCAGGTTGCCCAAAGCCTCATCCAGCCTGGCCTTGAACCCCTCCAGGGATGGGGCATCCACAGCTTCTCTGGGCACCCTGGGCCAGTGTCTCACCACCCCCACAGGAAAGCATTTCTCCCTAAAATCTGTTCTAAATCTTCCCACTTTCAGCTTAAAACGATTACCCCTCATCCTGTCACTCCACCCCGGATCAAGAGTCCTTCCCCATCTCTCCTGTAGCCCCCTTTCAGCACTGGAAGGTGCTGGAAGGTCTCCCCGGAGCCTTCTCTTCTCCAGGCTGCACACCCCCAACTCTCTCAGCCTGTCCTCGCACGGGAGCTGCTCCACCCCTCGGACCATCTCCGTGGCCTCCTTTGGGACCTCTCCACCAGGTCCCTGTCCTTCTTATGCTGGGGGCCCCAGAGCTGTACACCGTAGTGCAGGTGGGTCTCACGAGAGCGGAGCAGGAACTCTCACAAAAGCCGTTAGGAACTCCCTAGAAGGATGCCAGTGTTACCTCTGAACCAGTTGATGTGCAGGGACGAGTGAGCTGTGGTCCGGCAGGACAACATCACACACTGTCCGACAGCAGCAGCTTGATCGATGAGCTCCTCAACGAAGGAAGGGGCTGCAAAAAAGAGGAAAAGCAGTGATTCAGAGTGGCTGGGAGGGCTACGTGGAAAATAAGTGCATGCAGGACATCAGAAAACATCTTTAATTGGTTCAAGAACATTTCTGGTCCATGCTCTGCTCTGGCATTTCTTTGACCACCAGCTGGAGAATCCCCTGGGGACTGGGCATCCAGGCGCAGGAGCCCCATGGACACAGTGTGACTGCTCATACATGGTGATCCAGATGATCTTGGAAGGTTTGTGGGGAACATCTGCATTACCCAGCCCTGCTGGCACAGCTAAGGCAGCAGAACAACTCAGAGGAGAGAGGGAGGGAGCATGTCACGGCAGGAGTTTTCTTCTGGCCTAACTTAAATGTGGGGGTGAAACTGAATTATGGCATTTCAGAGACAAAGGGATCAGATCAACACCATTTTTCATTTCATAGATTCCATTTTTTCTCTTTCTAGCTTACACGTTGATTTTATTCCTTTCCAGTGGCTTCTCAGAATGCCCCCAGTTTGCAAACAATGCCAAGACAAGACAGTTTTAGCAAGGACGTAGTTATGATGTAAGTAGAGGAGGCTGGCTCTTATTGCATGAGTTGGTCCAGGTCATCTCAAGACAATCATTGCAGATCCATCCTTAGCACCTGGCCTCACATAGCTCTGTGGTATTCATCAGTAATACTTTGTAATAAAACTAACCGATGACTTAGGCAATAGCAATACCTTTCTCCTTTGGCATGAGGCTGGACAACTTGAACGAAGAGAGTGCTGATTTCCTCTTCAGAGGTCCTTCAGCCCCTGTTAACAGCTCTTTTTCTACTGCCTCACTTCCCAGCTCACCAAACTCTGTTTCGAGAAAGGATGAGAAGTCATTCATGGCCATCCTTCTCCCTGCAGCATCCCTCGACAGCAGACAGTTCTGCCATTCGTACATAAATAGCTCAGCAGCCCCAGGTTTCCTTATTAACAAGCCTTCGGTCAACAAGGAAAGCTGTGACAGCTCTTACAAACAGAATGATGTCCTGGAGGAACAGGGCATATCTAGGGATGGCAGAGAAGAAAGGACACATTCTGTGTCCAGTGTCATCAGCTTAGTTAGCCAGGGTGACTTCACCAGCTTCTCATGGTCACTTGAGCTTTAAAGATTGACCATGGTCAGATGATTACTGCAGAGGAAACTGCAGCAAGGAGAGCACCAGCCAGCCCTGATCTGCTTTTGTGCAGACTCAGGCAGGGGAATTGAAGCCACTGCCATCAGCAGATTAACCCAGCTGACTCTGCGCCGAAGCGAGCCTGTAACAGAGAGCTAGTGGTGGGGTTGAAGACCGCTAATTTCATAACCTGCCAGTGCCAGTTTTGCAATGCCAGTCTAACCACAGCCTCAGATATGCTGGAGAAAAAGGGAATGGCAGAGTTAGCAGAGCCCAGTAATAGCAAATCTGCAAAGGCACAGAGTGAAATATTTACCTTCCTCTGGCTCAGGAGATGTCTTTCCTTTTAGGATTCTTGAAATATGGGCAACGGAAGCTTTTACTTTCTTCTTCAGACTCTGCTCCACTGACTGCTCCACTGAATGAGACCTTGCATATGGCTTAAAGAGTCCTGGCTTGTTGTAGAAGGAGCTTTTCTGCTTACCACTTGAGTCCTTTTGGGCACCATACATTTCTTTATGACTCTCTGCCCCTTTCCCCATGGCTAATAAGTTAGTTGCCTTTGAATCCTCAGATATTTCCAAACGGTTCTTCCTGTTCTTGTCCTCTGCTGCTTCTCTGATGCACAGTTTTTTCTCTTTATGCACATGTCCTGCAGGAGGTGACCTTGCCCTTTCACCAAAAGGTATAAACCGTCTACCAGTTGGTTTGGGTGGTGATGGCTTCCTATAGTTCAGAAATTCAAATGGAAAATAGACAATGTCGTACAAGTCAGAGAAATTCAAGTAGGCAGGCTCTACCTCTGATATGTCAAGTTTGGGAGTTCCACTGCCAAGACTGGGTGTTTCGTCCGACAGGTCTTTGATTTTCACTAAAGAAACTTCTGGGTGTTTACCAGTGTCCTTGCTCACTGACACTTGACCGGGTCTTTTTCCAGTGTCCAAGCTATCTGTTGAGGAAACGCTCACTTGGCTAGAAGGGGGGGTCTCAAACGCTAAGTCCTCCAGATCCTCACATTCATGAGGAACCGTCTGTTCTCCCTGCCCTTCCAGTACTGCTGACTCCTCACTCACAGCAAGATAGGGTTCTGCAAAGTCATCCAGCTCAGAGACTTTTCTGCTCTTACCCCCTTGTCCAGAAGGGAAGGAGGTGTCTGTGGGTGCTTGGCTACCTGGGCCTTTGTAGAACATCTCTGTGGGAGGAGAGATGTGCTTTCTGCATTCCTCCTCACCAGAAACTGACTCTGCCCAAATGTTCATCTCTTCAGAGAGGGAAACCATGTCCTCCACTAAGCCCTCCAGCACAGCAGATTCCTCATCGCTGTAAAAAGAAGACCTGTGATGTGAGAGATCCTGACTTTGATCCCTGCGGAACGATGGTGGGACAGTTCTTGCAGCATCACAGCTTTCACTTTCTAAGGCAACACCTCTACCTTCACCGTAAACTTCTGGATATTCCTCGTATAGTAGCTCATAGGCTGAAGCTGGAGTAACTTCTGGCTGTGAAGCTGCTAAGGCACCTGCAGATCCACCCTCCGGAGCAGCAGAAACTCTGCCACTGGGATGGGCAGCTCTGTGTTGCTCAGACACCCGATGTCCAGCCTTGGGGAAAGGAGCAGGCATAATCTGTCCAGCTGCTGGGCTTCCACTCGCTGTCACAACAGATCTCACCTCTCTGCGAAGTGATGCCTTTGGATGTTCTGGCTTTTCACCCTCACAAAATGAAGGGAGGCCGATATCTTGAGTGGACCCAGTTCTAGTTGGGTGTCTGCTCCCCAGGACAGTAGGTACCATGCCACTGCCTTCAGAAACCTTCTGGGGTTTAGCTCCCTCGACTTCAGCCTCATGGGCCAAACTGGGGACAACCTCTGTGGCAGCTGAACCTTCACTCCTCAGAGCAGCAAGCTTCTCCTTGCCACGAGCTTGCCACGTTCCTTCGGAGGCCGAAGTCTGCATCGATTTCGGTGGTGGGACTTTTGGAACGATGGGACGCTCTCCTTCCAGGATGGCTGGAGCTGTGTCTACATGACCAGGAGCCCTCGTGTATGCTTGGCTTTCACCATCATGGGCTGACAGTGGAGTCATTTCTGCAATACCTGGTCCTTCATCCTCTAGGACAGCAGAGCTCACCTCTTTGTAGGTCTGTGGCTTCTGATGAGCGCCTTCATCCGCTGTTTGTGGAGCAGTCAGGGTACCTGACCGTTTGCCTTCCAAGGCAGTAGTAGCTGGGACACTTTGATCAGGAATTTCCTGACTTTGGTCTTTACTTACTGGAACTGAAGTGGTTCCTCTTTGTGGGCTTGTTAAAACAACAGACCTTCCGTGCTCCGTGAGATCAGATTTGGCAACACTCTGAGCAGAAGGCTTCTCATGGGAACGTTTCTGCCTTTTCTCTTCCCAAGGTGGAACTGGGGCTGTCCTTTTGGTAAGAAAGCTTCCACCTTTTACATCCAGATGGCTGTCGGTGCTGTGAGCAGATTCCTGGGGCACACACACACCTCCCTCACTTGTAGGACCTGACTCGGAGGTGGTCTCTGACTGCAGGGGAGTTGCGATGGACTGTTTGTCCTCCTGAAAAGCAGTGTCAGAGGCGCTGCCAGGGGCAGATTTAGCCTCTATGCTTTCATGTTTTGGAGCTGATGGTGCAGCTAGATTTGAGCACTGGGCAGTTAGAATGGGGCTTTTGCCTTCCAAATCTTCAGCTTCCTCCTCCATGTAAGTAGCTTTTGACTTCTTGAGTAAATGCTTCTTATTCTCGCTCCGATGAGGTGACATTGGAAGTCTCTCCAGCTGTTGCACAGAAACAGCCGGGCACCCATTACCCTCGCATTGTGTGGAAGAAGAAGGCTGCTCTGCTGAACAATCCTTGCTGGTTCTCCTAAAGTCCTCTTGCTTTGAAGCGTCTGCAGACCGTCTCTTGCCAGGCCCTGCAGAAATGTCGCAGTGGTCACTGCCTTCAGGGCAACTTTCCTGTGGCATTATATCGCAGTCCTCTTCCAAAATATGTTGTTCCCTCACTGATCTTGAGGCTCTCAGCCTGTAGTCATCCAGGGAACGGCTTCGGCTCGCTCCAGCGATGGCAGGATGTGGTGGTTTCCTTGCAGTATCAAAGGAAGCTGATTTGGTCAAGGAACCAAGCAGACTTTCCCTGCGATCATCTCCATCATCAGACTTTTCTTCTTCTTCTTCCAGTTCAAACTGCTCTAGAAGAGGTTCACGGAGACCACTGATGGGCACCTTCGAATATCCAGCTTTCCGGAAAGTCCTTCTGGCTCTGTCCAGGTGTCTTCTGAACTCCCTGCCCGGTGAGGAAGGTCCCCTTGCAGGTAGCTCAGCCGCTTGGCTGTAGAAAGTGCTTTTAATGACGCTCTGTCTAGGAACACAGACGGCTGGCTTTTCTGTCCCATCCCCAGCCTTGTCACTTTTGTCCTTATCAGATATAAAAATGTCTGGTTTTTCTTCCTGACGTAGATGTGATGTACTTTCTGTGGAAGCCTTCACTGAAGAAGGTTCAGCTCCACTGCTTCTTTGGGACTGCTCTGCTCTTTCATCTTGAAGTCTGGGATGCAGCCCCTCCTCTTTCTCTTTTAAGATACTTTCCATGAGCTCTTTGCTTTCTGTAGGTGATTTGTCCCCCACCTCAGCTTTCATTGAAGCATACTTCCTCCTCATGGGTTTTACTGGAAGAACTGAGATTTTGGAGTGCTTCTCTTCACTTGCGTGCTTTGGAGGCTCCTGATGGCTTGGTGCATCAAATATGGACAAGTGCAGTTCAGGTGTGGAGCCAAAGTGCCTCTTCTTGGGGAAATGCGAGTTCTCATTGTCCGAAGAGGAGCCGCTGGTACTGGACGAAGTGCTCTCTTCAATAAGATGTCGGGAGATGGCCAAGGAGGTGTTGTCGTGAGTCCTTTCTAGGATTTCTGGGATGGACCGCATTACCAGGATGGATTTATAGCACATCAGAGATCGCTGAAAAGCAAAACAAAATACAGCACAATCAGATGGAAACATGGTGCGAGCATGGTAAACCAAGCATACCCAAATGAACTTCTGTATTCTTACATATACTAGTTTAATAATATGTTGCCACTTTTTTAAAACATATAATGAATCCAGGCCTTCTTTGCTCTCCAAGTCTTCCTCTTCTCTCATTCACAGAGGTGAAACTATATTGACCTCCAGGGGACATACTTGCTGTTGTGAACAGGGAAGCAGATTTGGTCTGATTTCAGTACCAATTGCAAAGTCAGCTGAGGGTACCTCACTTAGACATAACCATGCGTCTTACAGGCACCTGCATTAGACCAGGTGATTTCCAGGCAGTAAAAACCTAGAGAATTTATTTCTGCCACATCCATCAACTGATCTCTTCTGGGCTTATTATCCATTCATAGACAAGCTGGGATCTCTGCTGTGCTCACTGTCCTAGCCCGATAGACTGTAAAAGGTGCAAATGTAATTAAAAATATATATAACTAGAAAGAAACAACATAGATTAAGGCCAACTCACCTGCCACTTGCTCCGAGCCACGATGAATTTGAGCTGCTTGGTATTAATGAAATGAGCTGCTTCGAGGGGGAGATTATGCTGCCAGGTGGAATGAGAGGAAAATTACTGGTTAAAAAAATGCCGACTTCATTTCCTGAGAAGTGGGGGTTTTTTTTAGGATTCCCTCCTTCCAGAATTGTTTAATTTAGGAAAGTTACAATAGACCACATGCTAAAATGCCCCATGGCTAAACTGTAGACAATCTCAGCTTTTCAATGATAAAAGCAAGCCCTGTTCAATGTATGTCATTAAATTCCCTTTTTAGGGAATTTATTGATCCTTAATTTAATTTTAGGGAATTTTTAGCTCTTCTCCTTAGCGATTTAAGGCATTGGAATATAAACCCTGACTTTGCTCTGCAAAGCCGGTTTCCTTTCTATACAAACATGTTATATCTGCTCATGTCTGTAGTAATTTTTATCTTTGGAAAGATATCTTGGCATATAAACATCAATGTATCTCCTCTTTCTGGAGAGCCATGCCTAAGCTTCTCTGTAGGACAGAAAGTAGAAGAAAGGAGAAAAATAAAGCAGCAAGTAATATCAAGGAGCTTTAAGAGCTACACCTCCAAAGGTCTCTTACAACCTCAATATTTTTAATGACTCTAATAAAGGACCAGGACAAACTTACCATGAACCATCTGTGGGAAAGACAGTCCGAAGCACTAGGCCTGGCTCTGAGAAGAGAAAAGATTACCATTTTAGTAGCAAGTCACTTCCAACAGCAACCACAAGATCTTCCTGAAGGTGCCCGCTTCCTATGGACGCACGCAAACACTTTTCTGTTTGTCCTTAGGCTGCTGGTTTAGAGCTGAGAAGCCACACAAAGATTTTCAGCTCAAGGTTTCCTTCCCTTGAGGTGAAACGATTCTCCTTTTCCAGCCTGAGACTCCCTGCAGATCCTCAGGAGGACCCCATGGCACTCTGCAGGGCATCGAGAGCAGCCCTAAGAGTGACTTTGACTCTTGAGGTGCCCAGAGTGAGAACAGCTTTGGCAGCAGGCAGAAGGAATAGAAATGAAATTAAAAAGGCAGCACCTGCAAACATGCCTTCAAGCAACCTTTTATACTTGCAATTGCTTAATGAATGTGGTTAATATTATTTAATTCGCACATAACTCCCTCTGTACTAGTCCTTGCTCTTCCCACTTCTCAATGTCATTTCAGAAACTCATCTGCCTGGAGGAGTCGGGGAGTAAGGACCATACCAGAAACAGGCCAAATTTGTCAAATTACCAAATTGTGGTTTGGGTAATCGGGACCAGGAAAGAAGAATTAGGGCATAATGTACCACATCTCACCCAGCTTTCTACTTTTCAACACAACCGCAGCTCTGATGAGCTGGGATCTGCCAGCCGAGACACCGACATCTTTGCACACCGGCTGTAGGACGCACAAAAGTGCACTCACATGGGCTGCTGCTGTAGGATCCCTTTGATAAAGTCCTTTGCGTCTTCACTCAAGTGAACAAAATCAGGAATGGTCCATGAAATTTCCCTGTTCTGGATGTTTAGAAGGGTTCCTCTGTCGTTCTCCCCAGCAAATGGAGACTTGCACGTCAAGCTTATTTATGGAACACCATAAAATAAAAGGAGACAGGCTTCAGACTCTTATTTGCTGTTCAATAATGGAAGTACAAATGTTTACATGAGGTTTTAAAATGCTTGAAGGACTCTGCTTGTGGGGCTTGCAATGCTTGTGAGCAGTGTGTCCTCTAAGAGCATCTTTGCAGCATTGCACGGCACTCTACTGAATTATTTATCCTTGTTTCACAGAGGAGGAATTAACAGTTTGATTTTGGCTAACACAGGCAAGGGAAAGACTGAACCTCATGAGTTGCTCTCATTGCTCACTGCAAGGAGAGCATCTGGCAGGTCTTCAAGCAGGGACAGTGACCAAAGCCCTGGGCAACCAGGGAAGAGTAAGTAAAGGAGAAAACTACAAAAGAAATAGTCCTTGCTGGAGAAGGACTCAATGCTTCACTCAGATCCCTCACCTGAAGGTACTGGAGGGCTCTGACTGACAAAGGGATATTGAATGAGGCTTTCCAAGATTTATTTACCTTAAATATGTGATGACTCCCACAGCCCTGAGGAGAGAGGGAACACAAATGTCAGGTGTTGGTCACCATTTCTCCCTCCTTGTCAAGCACATAGCCCCTTTTCCTTACCACTAATAAGATCCCCTTCTTATCCTCGCTTTTCCAAGGAAAATAAATCCCAAAAGCTATTGTTTTCAGCCTTCCATTTTTTTCCTTTCAGCATTTTTCAAAATTGTTCTCAAATAATCCCCTATTTTCAAAGCATAGATAGAGGAGAAGACTCAAAATACTTTTTTTTTTTTTTTTTTTTTTTTTTTTGGAGCTGGTTTGCCTTTTCTAGAAAGCCTTTTAGGATCATCCTCCCTAGTTATGCTTTTAATAAAGATCATCTTCTCTAAGATGCTCCTTTGCATTAATTACCTGTCAGAGTTCGATTATGGTTGAATAAAACACCAGGAGCTTTAAAGAGCCCCGATGAGTTTTGGATTCTCAATGTTCACGTTTAGTTTCCCATGTTATTATCACTAGTCCAGTTACTTATTAACAATAAATGGAAATTCAGGCCAATTAGGCAAAAAGTTTTTTAGAAAGATTACCAGATATCAGTTGCTTTTGACACTGGTGAGTGAGAAACAATTTCTGGGGCAACAAACTCCGGAGACCCGTATTTGCTGAACTGAGGCTCAAAGGGTGTGATCTTCTGAGCAAACCCAAAGTCACAGAGCTTCAGGTCTTCCCTTTCAGGATAAACCATGAGGATATTCAGCGGCTAGTAAGTAAAATAAAAATAAAAGGGAGAAAGTTTTCTTGAAAGCAGGCAATATTTTCAGTTCTAAATAAGAATGATTGGAATAAAGAATTCCCATTCCCTGACCACCAAGAGGCTATGGTAAGCCAGCCCTGCCATTGCACATTACCTTAATGTCCAAATGGAGGACGTTGTTGTCGTGAAGATATTTGATTCCTTCCAAAATTTGCTTGATATACAATTTGACCTAAAAATTAAATAAATTATTAAACATTAATAGTAAATAAGAGGGTCCCTGATTCCACCAACATTTTTAATTTATGAGAGAGGGAGACATTGAGTGAGAAATCCTTTTAAAATTAGAATGAACTTCTTTTATTAGTCTTGCAGTTGAAATAAGATGTGAACCAAACATTACACTGTGGAATGAAGCTGTGCCTTGTGTGTGACCACATTGCCCTGCTGGAACCTCCCATACGTGAAAAAAACCCCTTTATTTAAAAAAAAAAACCCAACCCTACAAACATGCAAAAAAGAGGTACAGAAATCCTCAAGTTTGATGAACCTTATCAACTGTCTAAAGTATCTAACTCAAACCCAGCTCTGGCTTGGTGTAAATCAGGCAAACACATTTAAAACACAAATACATTTTAAAATGATGTTGTAAACCCATTTTCTTGACCATATGTAGATCCAATCTGACTGTGACTGAACAAGGAGTGAAGATTTACACCTAGCTTCAGCTTTGGAAGTCCTCTACCTTTGATATTTTATAGTGTTAACTCACATTTGGTCTTTAAAGGTCCCTTCCAACCCAAACTAGTCTATGATATTTCCCTCTGAGTATTTCTAAGAAAAATCAGTTTTGCTAATAAATGCAGGACACTTGGCTACTAGATGGGAGATATGAAACATTTTGAACTTTGAGCACCAAGGACCTCAAAAAAAAAAAAAAAAGCCCCTTAGAAACTGTAATTTCAGCCCTTGGTTTGGAGACTGAAGGAGAGTGGATAGAAGCAGAGTTGTGAAGGGATAAAACATTATTAAGCAAGTGATGATACTGGAGCTCCAGGTGACAGATAGCAAAAGAAAGGATGATAACAGAGCAAATATCATCTGTATTAGGCTGAATGCAATGCTGGTGCTCAAAACCACTGTCTGGATTTGGTTATTCCTTGAAGAAACTCAACTTAGCAATGAAAGCTGATGGGAACACTTGTCTGTTTTGACATGTTATCACTGCTTCAGAGACATTCCTCCTATTCAAAAAGGAAAATGCAGATAGAAGACACTCTGGTGGTACCCACCAACTCTGGATTTTCAAATAATAATTACCTCTGCTTCAGTGACAACACTCTTCTTGAATAAACGGTCGAGGAGCTCTTCGCTGGAGCATCTGGCAAGGGCATTAAGGGAAAACAGGACTACAGTTAAGTGCTTATTTTTATTTTGTAACCACCTCTATCCAGCTAAACAGCAAAATCCACGAGGTGATCACAGGCAATGTGGTGTGCAGGTAATTCCTGCCCATGGCAGGGGGGTTGGACTAGATGATCTTTAAGGTCCCTTCCAACCCAAACCACTCTATGATTCTATGATTCATTGATTGCAGCAGTGTCCTTCTTGCAGGATTGGGCTGCTCTAGCCCTGTGCTCCCTGTTACTGGCAGGAGCACGGTATCACTTGGGCTAAAATCTGCCTGTTGGCTTTTCTATTCTGCACTGTATTTTCCTGGTGCTCACCCAGACAGGATCTCATGGAAACAGAGTCCTTCACTTCCAGACATTTTAGAAAAGAGTTTTGGGGCTTAAAAACTCACTCACATTTATATATGCAAGTATCATGACTTTTCCTGAAACGGCAGAAACATAGTACTTCAGTGAGGAGCTCTCAGAGCTGTGCTGTCCTGATTGTGTGTCCTTCTATTTCAGGCAAAACCTAAAAAATGGTTAATTGCTTAGTTATTTAATAAATGAGCTCTGCCTAATACTTCCCAGCCTCCTCAGAGAAGCAGCACAGAAAAGGATACAACTCCAGAATCAAAATCAGCGTTTTCCGCGTTTCAAACTGATCCAGGAGCCTGGTAATTCTGTCGTGGGACAGAGAGGCAAGAATATCCCTCTCCTGATGCGCTCGAGCCTTCGTTTTGCTTCGCAGAGGTATGAACTTGGCAGCACAAGACACTCTGTTCCCTTTGTGGACAACCCGTTTCACAAAGCTGAAGCAGCCCCTGTGTGAAAATCAAAGGACGAGCCCTGCTCAGACTTGGTTCCAAGCCCTTTGCCCAGCAGGGACAGACCTCAATGCATCGCAGCCTTTGACAGCTCCCTGCTGCTCAGGACTTGAATTCTCCAACATAAAAACCTGGTTTTCCTGTATGTGAGGTGCTGTTGCCCTCTCCTGGCTGTCTCCAAAACTAAGCAATGAGTTCATTTAAAGGGAGAAGCTGTTCCAGGTGATACCACCTTGTGCTGACAAAGCTCTTGGATCCCTTGTAGGTACGTTGCTATGGGTTTGTGATGCCGAGGAGCCGTACCTGGGCACCTCTCCCGCTAGCCTCTGGCTGGTATTTTTTTCTGGTTGGAGCAACCTGGACCTATGGGTTGTATGGAATCTCCCATCCTCAGTAAGAAACTCCAGAAAAGTGTTCCCAGCACACCTGCAATGGGTAGACCTCCCACATCTTTCACCTTTTTCAGACTTTTCCACAACTGGGTCCACCTCTGCATCTGGTTCCACATGCTCAGCAGCTCAGATGGGTATTTAGATATTCTCTGATAGTCACACTATAAAGTCAGAAAATTCATTTACCTGCCGATCTCCTGCTTAACCTCATAAAGGGAATGGAGCTTTCTCCTGGTGGCCACTTTCTTTGCTGCTTGGTCTTTCTTAGCTTTGGAAATGAAGGAAAATATTAGTTAATATTTAGAAACATAAAATATTAGTTAATATTTAGACAGCAATGCCTTGCTAATAGCATGCAAGGTTATTACAGGCCCATTTAAGGCAGGAAAAATTACAGGGTTACTCTAAATGTCTGCACAGAATTAAGCAGAGCTGTTCAATGACACAGCCTGTCAGTAGGAACTTTGGGTTTGCATCTCTGTCTGACATAAATCAGAAGATCCAGATTAAAGAGCAGAACACCACTAGGGGCATGACCCCCCCTTATTTCTGTGGCCCATTGTATCAGCTTGTCATGTAGCTTACGCAGAGAAAAAAAAAAAAAGAATCTCATTTGTATATATAGATATGTAAGTCATTAAATCATTTGCCCTTATACTGGATCCTGCCGTACTGGTTCTATAGAAATGCAGGAATACAGGGCAGATACCGTAAGGGTACAGGAACAGAGTACACATGGCAATGGCTGTAGAAGCAACTCCTGCAGCGGAAAGAATGACCTTACCTTCATGTACGATAAGCTCTGCTTTGCACAAAACCTCCCCTCCTGCATTTTTGGCAACACAGGTGTAAACACCACCGTCTTCTGAGACAGCATCATCCACAACTAAGAAATATGTTGTTCCTTCCTTCCCTTGATGGACCCTGTTGCTGTCTGTCAGCAGTGAAGTGCCCTGAAAGAACAAAATGACATTCTGACAGTGGGAAAAATGAGATTAAACCAGAGCCTGAACAAAGGCTTGGGAGGGATCGCCAGGGCTGTGTGTGGTTTATTTTTCAGCTCTTCCAGTGCACCACGCCTGGGCAGCCAGCCCAGGGAGCACGTGGATCAGCTGCCTTGTCCTGCCTGACCTCCAGCTTGTGCTGCCACTTTTGCTGCTTGATATATTCATAAATGCTATGGAAAAAGGGACACAGAAAACAGATTATGAAGATTTGCAAAAGGACCTTATGAGACCGCCTGACTGGGCAGTAAAATGCCAGATAAATGTTTATAATGCAATAAATGTAAAGTGATGCAACCCTATTCCCCCACATGAAATGTTGGTCTCTGAGTTGTTCCTTATTACACTGGAGCAAAACTTTGAGCTACAGTACATCACTGCATGGCTGCACCAGCTCAGTGCTTGGTGGCAGTCAAAAAGTAACAGATGGTAGAAATTATTAAGGAAGAAATGAAGAATAAGATAGAAAGCATCATCTTATAAATCCTTGGTTTGCCCAGGTGGCACTTCAGGCAGCGTAATGTCATTGGGTTGAACTCCTTGCCAAGGGACACTGCACATGCAAGACATTTGCACAGGTGCAAGAGGAGACTAGATAAGCACATGGAGAGCTTTAGTTTGGGTTAGTAAACAAATAAAAGTTCAGATACCTTGTGAAAATTCTGAGCTGAAAATGTTGGATGGTGAGAATATTAACAGGATATATCATATATTCTTGCCTTGTTCTTATTCTTTTCAAGGTGTTAGAAAAAAATTCTTCACTGAAAGAGTGCTCAGGCATTGGAACAGGCTGCCCAGGGAAGTGGTGGAGCCACCATCCCCGGAGGGGTTCAAGAAACGTGTAGATGTGGTGCTTAGGGGCATGGTTTAGTGAGTTAGGTGGTGTTGGGTTGGACTTGATCCTTGAGGTCTTTTCCAACCTTAATGATTCTATGATTCTGTGTTCAGGTGTGTGCATATGCACGTGTGTGTACATGGGAGAGGGTTCTTTGCATTTTTGCTTGGTTTTTTAAGCTTCTTTTTTTTGTCTTAATAGCTCATCCTTGCACTTCCCATACAGAAAAATAATGGAACAACACTTGGGTGTACAAAACACTTAGTTGGACAGAAGCATTACAGATAATCACTACAGAACAACACTGTCTTATTTCAGGGGCAAGACAATATTCTGAGGAATAATAAATTATTTCTCCTTCCTTCCTATGGGATATTCATTGTCCTTAGTCACACTCATGATCACACGCAAGATGTGTGGTGGGTGGTTCCAGTGAGAATTGCAGCTCATTCAACCAAGTCTATAGATCTGACCCAGAACCAGAGTGAGAGGTGTGCAATGAAAGAACAAAAAAAAATTCCCCAAAGAAACACTGCCCTACAGTCCTTTCTGTGGCCCTCATTCTCGGACAGAGAAATGCATGCACTTACCTTAAACCACAAAACAGTAGGCTGAGGGGTTCCTTCAATGACTGCCTGAAATTTGGCACGCTCTCCAGAATTCACCTGCACATCCTCTATTGTCACTTGCATATAGGGAGGACCTGGTGAGACACAAGGGTTTGCTGCACGCACAGTGCCATAACTTTGTTCATGGCACGGTCGTGTGAGTCGAGCTACTCAAATGGGATTTACAGGACTGTCCACCTAGAATATGACACTAGCCTCATGTCAAATCAAAAGCTAGCACACCAATATGTTTGGGTTTCTTTATATTGGCGTTACTTTTAGGCTTCTTATCTTCACACTTACCTGTCACACTTACTGCTCGAGAAATTGAATTATTTATAAAAACAGTCATCAAGAACTATGACCAAAAGAAAAGACAATGACAACCATGGGATGTGGGAGAGGGAAACAAGACTCTTCCTTACTTGTTGGGGTCTTCTCATCAGTCTTATACACACAAGTTCTTTCTGTGGTCTCAATATAAACTTCACTGTGTATATCCCAGACCACATCTCTCTCTCTTCTGTACCAGTCTTCTGCCCCTGCAGCTGGCGGTGTTCTTTCATGAAACCCAAGAGAAAAGATCATTACACAGTCACATACAACCACAGAGATAAAGGGTTACACCCTGCCATTGATCTGAGTGTTTAACCACCAGAAAAATCATTATTTACTTAAAATTATTCCAAGAAGAATTTTGTTTTGGGGGAATTAATTTCTCTCCCACCTTTTCTATCCTTCTTGCACAATGCATTTGTGAACAGGACTCTAAAAATAAGAAGAAACCTACAAGAATCAGTTCAAGTCACCACCTACTTCCTCCACCACAGAGGAGTTGCTTTTCTTGCAAAAAGTCTGCCACATTCGGAGATCTGTGTGTTGGGATGGGTGTTTACCTGGTAATAGGAACAGTGCGCTCCTGAGAGCTTTCACCTCCAGCAGCCGTCTCTTCACGGGAAGGACTGGGGCTGGACTTCAGCACGTTTGGTTCTTCAGCTGAAATCTGCCTTTGTGCTTTGTCTGGCAGCAGAAATAGGGAAAGTCAGACACATCACATATGATGGCACACCTGAAACCCCGAGCAAACCTTTGGAGCCATCTCTAGTCTGCCTTGTGTCAGGACGGAGTCCATCTGACCTCAGCTGTGTGCGATCGCTAAAGCTAAGAGGAGGATTGGGCCCTTTTGAGTAGAGCACATGAAGCAAAGGGCTTGGATAACGTCAGAGAGACATTACTGACTGGGCAAAACTGACTTTTTGGTAAAGACACACACAGACACAAATAAGAAAGACGCTCAGTAGGGGCAAGAAGAAATAGGATGACTGGAAGGATAGTGTAAGTTCAATGTATCCTTTATAGGAGATAATTTGACTGTGTTTGAGTTCCAGATGATGGCTATGATGTAATTGTAGAATCGTAGAGTCATTTAGGTTGGAAAAGATCCTTAAGATCATTGAGTCCAGCTGTTAACCTAACACTGCCAGGTCCACCACTAAACCACGTCCCTAAGAACCACTGATACACATTGTTTAAGTACCTCCAGTGATGCCTAGCGTTAACTTCGTACACATGAATCCTTCAGTGAAACTTTGCATTATGAGAACAGTTCTTGACTCACTGGTGTAATCACTTACAGCATCAGTGAAACGAGTAAGCTTACATCAGTGTAAAACTGGTGGTCGAGGCAGGCCCTGGCTGGAGGCCCAACTAATATGGAGATAATACAGAGGTGTGCTCATATGGGGGACCTGGTGATGTTACAACATCAGCATTGGTACACCTCTGCTGGGTTCTTTGAAAATTTCGTCGTACAACTCTAAGTTACACCAGAACAAAATTTGGTATGTTGGGCTTATAGGAACAAACAAACAAAAAGATGGTGCAGCCTGATGGAAGTTCAGGTATTGTTCTTCTTTTACTATTAATAATTTTATTAGATATATCATCGAAAATTGGTTTGTACCTAATTGTCTTTTGATAATGACTATTGTAATTACCCTTTAGGATAAAGTGCGTGACTTCCTTTCTCATCTGAGGAGAAGAGGTGAAACCAAGAGGAGTCTTCTCCCCAGTAGGAAGGGCCTTTCTGGGAGCACTCTGGGGATGTTTGGTGCTGACTGGTTTTGGAAAAAAGCAGCAGTTTTCAGAAATCACATAAACCAGCTCTATTGGGATGGAAAACAGGGTTATTCAAGGCAACCAAAGCATGGTTATTCATTATGATCGCTGGAAGGGTCAGAGATCCCAAGTGGGTGGAAAATGGACTTGTGCTTTCGTGTTGCCAAGTCTGTCAAAATATTTGCCTTCTTTTTATTCAAAACCTGATCAAAAGGGACAGTTGTCAAATCTCCATCTTATTAAAATAATTCTACATGTTAATAACACCTTTATTTGTCTCAGATAAAAGGACTGTAAAACCCTCATTCACTGTTCTGTTATCTCTGTGGTTACAACTAAGGAAATAATCTGCTAGATGACATTTTACTTATGATTTTTGAGTCATCCTGCTTCACTAAAGGATTATTTTCATGGATGATTTCCTACTAGAATGGAAAGGGGATTTAAAGCCCTGTCATTTTTTGGTGAAGTTATTTTAGGCCTGACTCCATGAAATGCTTCTGTCCTTGTTAAGTTTTAGACAAGAATATCTTGTCTAGAGTTTTAGGGCTGACGGCTACTTGACATCATGCTTTAAGTTGACACTGGTGGAGGACAGTTTCTCTGACTTGACACAGAGGCAGCTTAGACAAGTTGTTATGGCAGAAGTAGAAGGCAGAGTGGGAGGTTTGCCACTTATTCATGGGGTTGTTTTTTAAAGCAATGCAAAGACAAAAGACTTGTTCTCCTGGCAGGACACAGTCACACACATCATCATGGGTTTTAGTCACACACAAACTGCTAAGGAGCCTCTTAAAGTTCCAGGGCCAGTGAAATGCAGATGAACCTGATGCACTCAACACCCTAGAAAGTCTCTGGAAGTTGGTACAGGGGTGTTAAAACACATTTACATCTTGTTAATGGCAAACAATAAATGAAAAAGCAACCTTACCCACTCCACCAAAGCACTAATGACTTCTATAAATGTAAAGGAGGGACACCCCCTCTTCTACCCCCAGAGCCCTGAAGCAAGTCCAGGGTCAAAAGCCCAAAGGTGGAAAAATCCCCTGTCCCTCAGTTTTGGGCATGTGATGCACCAAACTCTACTTGAGACACAGTTTTCAAACACCTTCCATTTCCAGAAATATCTGCCCCAAACTTGTGTCCAACCTAACCCCAACCCACAGTCCTCTGTTTCTTTGAATGTCCTCTCTTAATCTGCAACCACCCAAAACACAATGAAACGTAAAAAATTAGGGGAAAAATATCATTATCGGCGTGTTCAATATTTTTCTCTCTCTTGACTCCCGTGGGACATTTTCCAGATTCATGCCAAACCTACCATGACCTCCAGCAGTCTGGGTTTGGGTGCTGGCTTCATGAACTAGCATTGATGGCCCGGATGCTGTTTCTGAGTGTTCTGAAGGAACAGACCCAGGAAGACCAAGGCCACTGGCTCCTCCTCGCATCCCTGGGGGAAGAGTCACCAGCAACGATGCCGAGTCCACGAGTTTCTTTAGAGCTGTCTTGATTTCCTTATCAGCACGCTGGAGCGAGGCCTGGACAGAAGTCTCCATCTCTGACTGTGGGGAAGTCATTCCTACAGACAAGAAGAACAGCTTTTCTCTCTTCAGAGCAAAAAGAAACTAGCAGCATCATCCAACCCATGGAAATATTTGCAACCGTATCTTTTTCCCCTACTAGAGCAGGGAGCTGATGCAGAAATGACTATTCCAGCAAGAGGGAATGTAGCTAAGACTTAAACTGAGAAGGCTGGCACAACAAGCTTTGGAAAAAAGTATCTCACCAGGTTGAGGACACTGTGCCACACTGCACACACACACAGCTTCTCCCCAGACAGCAGAACAAAGGATCCATCTCCCAACTCAACCCTACCTTGGCTGCTCTGTTAAAAATACTTTTATTAAGATCAATGAGCTGAACCCAGTGGTGACCTGGGGGAAAGAAGGGAGGGCTGCGCTTCTTCGTGAGCCTCTAAGTCTGAGAGGATGGCAGAAAAGCTTCTCCTTGCAGAGTGATGTATTTGTCCTACTTTACAATATCTGAATATTTTTTGCTGGGCTTTGCACTAGAAGGTGCCCGAGACTTTTAAATTTGTGGTGGGCTATGCCTTTGAGAGATACTCTAGAGGTGAGGTCACCTGGTCCATACAATAACGCACAGTGGTTGTGTATAGGGGAGCGCTATACAGAGGAAAATGTAACTCCTGCCTTGAGAAACTCGCTGTTTTGAAGGCAGAGAGAAGACAAAAGCTTTCCACACATAAAAATGGATTTTCAAGCATAAATCTTTGCAGAACAGCTACCCAGGAGACACATACCATGGTGTCATTCCCAGTCACCGCTGGTAGAAGAAGCTAGGCTAGGATGGGATCAAAGGACCTCATCTCATCCAATCTCCTGCCCAATACACCTTCACAAATCTGAAGAGGCACAACAAAGGGACAGACAATATCTAGAAAACACTCAAGTAATCATAAAGACAAGCAGAATGCATGTCAGACTAAGACAATTCATCACGTTCGTGATGTGATTGCTTGCCAAGCAAGAGTGCAAACTTGAACCATCATGTGGTTCAAGAAAAAAATAAGAGCACTTTTACACAGACACCTCTGACTTGTTTAATGTCATTGACACAGCAGCATGTCCTGCAGCGGTTGTGATTCTCCTCCTTTCCCAGCCTTAGGAAAGTAAATTCCCATGATAGACTTTAGCAGGTAAAGTTGAGGCTACATTTGGATCAGCCCCCTTTGAAGACATCTCACTTGATTTTTGTTTTCTATGCCCTCCTCATGAGCGTAGTGTTTGGGAAATATTTCATTTCTGGGCTTGTTGATGAAAAAAGCAAGTTTTGCTCACACGATGTCCCAGACTCCACTGCGCCAGGTGGAAGATTTTTAAATATTTTCCCAGATAAATATTTTGATTTTCCTGTTGGGATTGCTGACAGTTGGTGCTGTCCTATGAGCTGGGCAGCTACCAACAAGTTTGGAAAGACATGAAACACTCTTATTATCTCTCACTAAGAAAATATATTGAGGTGTATATATATATATATATACACACAGGTTATATATAACCACATCTCCCCCATGCTGCTACTACCACCACTTTCCTCCCTGTTTAGGGATGTTACACACTACGATTCAAGCTAATGACCTGAGGAAATTTAATATTAGCTGCGGTACGTCAAGCTAACACCACAGGGATGACACAGCTGTAATGGACAGCCTGTTTCCCAGTTCTAAAATCTCAACCATGAACGTTTCCGCCCCACATCTCCTTCAGCAATAACCAGGAACACAAGACTGACACGTATTTTGAGGTTCCAATTCAGCCTCAGAGAAGGACCCAAGAGGATGAACATAATTCAAAATTATTGACTCATAGATCTGAGTTGGAAATATCCCTAAAACCAGGTTCTTTCTCTTCAACACTTCCGAAACTGTCCATAAAAAAAGGAGCCAGAGCCCAACTACATTAATACTCTAGGGTTGCAACCCAGCTCCTGGTGAAGTCAATGGGAGAAACGGATGAGCTGATGGACTATCAAGTGCCGTGAACAGAGAAGAACACAGAAACCCAGCGAGTTCAGTGACAGCTGATGCACGACATTTATTGATATAAACTCAGCATCTAACAGCATATCTTGGATTTGATTTTTTTTTGTGTGTGGTTTTTTTTCCTTTTATATGTCAAGCAAACTGAAGTTTCCACTTTATTAATACCCATTTACCTGCAGGAATTTTTAGTAAAACATTCTTTGTATTAAAATTTTTAATACAGCTGTTATGTTTTCATCTACAAGAAATAAATCCCCACACATCTCATTAGTTATCTACATAGTTTAATCACAAGCATAATTTTTAAACTCTAGGAAAATATTTTGAAAATATATGTAATGAACTTTTCATAAACCTTTCACTTTTTGAACAGAGTCCTGCATAGGATTTTAAAGCATCCTTTCAATTGTCTGTCTTTTGCTGAAATTTCAAAAGAAAATGTAAACAGATGTTAATTGCTTTGAGCTACTAAATCAAAGTACAGTTAGTTATTTCTTCTATGACCATCTGAACTGCAACCATTTAGCTGCTTTAGAAAAACCTGAGCATCAACCACAACAGGAGGAAACCTCCACGTTCTTTTACACATTTTTATTATCTTTTGGATGAATATTATATTTTTGAAAACTATTATAGGGCAAATTCTTTTCTCAGCAGTATCTTTGTGAATCTGGACCAAATCCACTTCCTTCTGTGGAATTATTCTAGGTTGATACTGGAATAACTGAGATCAGAATCAGGCCCAATATAAAATAAATATTTTTAGCTTTGAAAGTATTTCCCAGTTGTATGTCTGTTACTTTCCAATGTACAGTGCAATATATGACACAAGCGCTAATATATATCCATCGTATTGCTTAATTATAAAACAAACAGTATAAACCAAAGAGATGGTATAAAAAACAGGAGAGTTAACATAAAAGAGGCTTGATCTCTTTCACCACGTGTAATCACTGGAAAAACATCCTATGTCGTGAAGGTAGTGCACATGATATGACACATAACATCCTGTTTGGATTGAAAGTAAAAGGCTGTGAAATCCATATGTTCATTTGACTCAGCACATGATCAAGGTGCAGCCACCAAAGGAAAAATAAAATAACGTATTCTTTTCTAGAAGCACCTTTTGTGAATTCAATCCCTGTTAGTGGGAATATCGCCTGGAGGACTCAAGAACAAGCTTCAGAATATTACCCAGCTGAGAAACACTGAGAGAACTTCACACATACATTTCCAAGGCAGAAACTCACTCAATCCTCTCTCTTCATGCTGGTTAGAAATTCAGTCTGAGCATTTCTGGTTTTCCTACACCATCTAAATGAAAACATTTTCTATTGCAACACTTCTACACAACTCAGCTGGGATGAGGTTTTGGGAAATTCTACCCCATACCCCTGTCAGACAGAGAGGGTCAGTGCCTGGTCCTGCTGGAGACCAATGACCAACTCCAGCTGACTTCAGCTGGGACCAATATTTGGGCTTATGAGCTCATTTCTTTCCAGGGCTGAGCAACTTGTTGAAGATCTGTGCAACATCCATTTTTGGAGAAGCCAACAGGAATGGGCCATGCTCAGTGCACCTGAGCCTTCCCCTCCATCAGTGGCTCCAGCTTGTGAAGCTCCAAGAAACTCAACAGAAGGCCATACCTCTACAAGACAGCTCAACGTACACAGCTACAGTAATATGATGCAATTGCAACTGGCAGTGCTTCCAAGCAGCCCAATACATTTTGAGCAGATGTATTTTTCAACCAGGCATTTATGGTAAAGATCTCTTTTCTTTCTTTATTTTTTTTAAAGCTCTCTTTGTCCTCCTGCTGCTTTGCTGTAGCTCAGTGGTGCATTCCTCTTAGCACACACAGAAGGCACTATCCATCGATCTATTACCAGTAATGTTTCACCACTGGGATGTACAGGAGACCAAGTATTATCCCAGTAATATTTATTGACAAAGACCACATTTGTGGCTCTTAGTATGTGTTAGCATTTGATTACAGATGCAAATGTCATTTTGTGCAGCACTTTTAAGTGCACATTAAGTAAATCTATATTTTTAAATATATGGTTTATAAATCCATTACCCTAGAATGCAGAATAATGAAATCTGCATCTTTAGACAACTAGGAAGCAGATTTGAAAATAACAATCGTTTAAAAAAGATGGGTTTGTTTTTGTTTTTGTTTTTTTTTTTTACTTAAAGCAGAAGAGAACAACCAAATCCTTGCTTCCTCAAGTCAGTTGGACTTTCACCATTGACTTCAGTCAAATTAGGTTTTCAACCAAAGGGTCTGAGCAGCCCTTTGCATCCCTAGTAAGTGCAATATTTTCTATATGTTTCATTCCATGGCAGAAGTTTAAAGTAACGTAACCAGACTGTATGAGTTGAAAGGTTTATGAACAAATTTTGATAGAGCTACTTGGTGTCAAACGTATACAACAGAGTCAAAGCAGGGTGAAGCTCCACGACCTTCGGGCACACACAGCGACAGGAGATGGCTTTAGCTGGAAACAGTCCTCCTATCCTGCGATGCTGGAAAGCTTTCACCTTCTTGACACACTGTAATTTACAAATTGGCACTTGAAATAATTTTTAAGTTCATGGACAAAACCGCACTTGTTCATTTCTGTTTCTGTCATAGGCAGGAGAATCAGGCTTTTCCTAAACCTACCATCACTGCTCCACTATGGAATGATATATGTTCACCTCGATCAAAGCTTTTAAAATTACAGACTGTTCTGACAGACATGTTCCCTTTAAGACTGGAAAAGCTCGACATATTGTATTTAAATATATTTTCCTCAAAGGTATTCTTTCATACATATTACCTTGTAATCTTTGCCACCAATTCCCCTCACCTACAACAAATTTGATTAGTTGTTTGTTTTTTTTTCTAAAACGCTGCTTTCTTTTGTGTTGAAAATTATGCTCGCATCTGCTTAGCTTTGGGAGAGGTCTTCTGTGCTGATGTGCAAGGTAACAGGCTCACCAACAGTCCCGTAGCTGAGGGTTCTCGTGGAAACTTCAGTTTTAAAGCTTGACTGTCCGTTGTCTGCTGAGCGCTGGACTTCGGTGCAGAAGGATGGCTTCACCGTGAAGGAGGGACCAGGAGAAGCTGCTGCTGTTGCTCCGTGCACTCCGGGTGTCATTGCCACGCAGGTATCACTCACATGGAAAGAGATGTTTGAGGGGCCTACAGACTGTACGCCGGTTACTCTAGATGTTGACATGAACATGCCTCCAGGAACGTGCTCCTCAAACTGGCTGAAAAATCTTTGCCTGGGCTGGGAAACCACAGGTCTCCCCAGATTCAGCAGCACTGGCTTCCCAATCATGGGGTCATTGATCTCTGTCTGGAGCACGGAGATCTCGCAGGGTTTCTCTGCCGTATGGCTCTGATCCTCACACCCGTAGGTCTCACCTTCTTCAGGAACGTAATCTTCAAGATCCTCCAAAGTTAATAATTTGCCATTGTGGGTTAAGATTTTGCGGTCCCGGGTGCTAAGGTCATCTACCTGTAGTTCCTCTGGTTCATCAACTATAATGACATTGTCCTCTTCTGGAAGGACATCTTCTATGACTTGAGGTACTCCCTCTTCAACAGGCCAAGACACGTTTAATTCATCTGCCTCCTCTGTAACCTCTGGACTCTCTGGTGAGAACAGAAGTCCGTGCTGGTCTCCAGCCGCTGTCTCAAAACTGAAGAGCAAAGGCTCACCCCCACAGGCAAGCAGCGGGGAAGCAACGTCTGACCCGTAGTGAGCAGTTGTTTCCTGTGGGAAGCTCTTTTCTTCAGTTCCATATTCCATAAATGAATTATTTTCTAGTTGTTCAGACCCACATGGGAAGCTTCTCTCTTCGTTGCTGGCTTGAGGTCCTTCCTCCTCAGTTGCATACGCCAGGGGCTGGAGATCAGCTTCAGAGAGACTGTCATTAGGCAAAGATTTTGGTTGTTCCACCAACTTATTGTTGGAGTTGTTTGTGTTTGGATCATCTTCTGGGGAATGCCTAGGCCTTGAGCTGGGAAAAGTGAACGTTAACACCCCTGAGTCATCTTTGTCTTGTTTTGCTGGGGAAGAGCCTCTTTTCCTTGCAGGTTTGGGTGACTTTTTCACCTTGAATTCAATTATTTCTTCCACCTCAACCCATTTAGGCTTTTTCTCCTCCACCTTGGTCTCTGTGACGACATCTCCAGCTGCTGCTCCTTGCCTGTCCTCTGGTTCTGTGACGAAAAGCACAGGAACAGCAGACTTTGGCATTGCCTCCTGCTCATGCCTGTGGACAGGTTGCCGGATCTTTGAAGTGTAAACTGGCTCGGGAGTTGGCTCCGGTCTTGGAGAGCGGGAAGGCGAATGACCGGAAGAAGAACGCGCAGGAGAAACCCTTCCCCTTTGTCTTGGGCTCTTCACCACAGTGGTTATGGTTTCCTCTCTGATGACAGAAAGGGTTTACATGGAGTTGGCAGGAAGATGAGACTTTTCGGGAATCCACACTCCCATCAACACATGCCATTGTCGGTCAAGGCGCGACAGTGGGGTTAGTTTTGTGAGCACTCCAGCTTTTTGGTGAAGCGTGTAATTTTTTTGTTTGGAGGGGATACACACGCAATGCACACACCCACATGCCCATCTCCACTTACTTTCTGATCCAGGGAAAACCTCAGTTTTTTTTCCCTCAAGGTGGATCCTCGCTCCATTAACCTCCTTGAGCACATGGACACACCATGAGTATGTCCAGCTGGGAAATGTTCTTCTGGATGCTGTTGTATTTCATGTGTTGACCACCTACTATGCTACTTTGGACTCATAGAGCAGTTTCACCCAAAGATTTTAAACACTCAGGGAGTTTAACCTTTTCCTGAGTGTCTTTGGCTCAAATCTTGGCTTTGTCAAACTCAACAGCAAAATGCCCTTCACTACAGCAAGCTCATCAGTTTCTTCTTTTTTCATAAAAGTAACGTGTCTTTATTTTTCTTATTAAAGATTTTTGAGACCAGAGATCTGCATTTTCACGTGCAGAGCAGTTATATTAAAATGGCATGAAGCATTTGGAGACCAGGAAAGGAAAGTTAGAACATTTCCTGCAGAAGTCATCTATGCCAAAATGTATTTATTTTCGCTCTTTGTAATACTATTATTGCAGACACAGCCCGATTCCTACAACCACCAACTGACATAGGAGTACCAAATTAATCTGGGATGCATGATTATAATTTCTCAGCTTGGCCTTACTTTAGATTTTTCGAGGTGTCCAAAACAGTTGGGACTTCTCAGCATCCCTGTATAAATATTCAGCTTGTGTCAAAACAATCTACTCCCATCCCAGGATAAAATTTGACCTTAAATGAGCTACAGGTGGAATTGGATAGATTAGCTTTAAAATCTGGGAATAGGAACATCTAAACCAACTTTAATGCTCTTAATTTCTGTGTTTAACATGGAGTTTTTCCTGGAGATTTTCCAATGGCATTTCTTACATGGAAAAACTCGAAGGTAAAGACAGTGTTGTCTTTGCAGGCACAAGGAAACTGATGCTCTGCAGTGGAGGAGCTGGTTTGGTGGAGCTAACAGGGAGACCTGATTTTGTTTCAGTGTTGAGATTTTGTCCTACCTCCAGCCAATGGGATAAAAAAAGAACTAACTGAAGGGTAGAGACAATGGCCTGAAGTGAGGAGGAATGATTATGAATCAATATAATCACTTTTTCATTTCTCTCTTTCTCCTCACCAGCCTCTAGCCACAGCCACACAGAGCTGAGAGTCACCAGCTCTGGTGTCCAGGTGTCTGCTCTGGCACTGAGATAGACAGAAGGGTGGAAGGAGTCCTTGTGAAAGGAGAGCCTGTTTCTCCTATTGCTTTTGTCTAACCGTCATGGAAGACTAACCCTCTTAGATATCTTGTAGCATTTCTCATCTATTGGTTTGATTTTTGGAGATAGGTATTGCCTTCTCCTATGGAAACCAGATTTCTTTCCACCATCACTCTCTCCCTTTGAGGATGTGGTGAAGACCACGACTGGATCAGCTACAGTGTGATTTCTTTTCTTCCAGAGCACCCTCTCATCTACTGCTCATTTCCACTGCTTTACTCTTGTCCCCAGGTTTATCAGATTTTTTTCTGATCCTCCATCCCATGCTGGGTTTGTCTGCTCTCTGAGATGTTCTAGAGCTTTAAGGACCATGCGGAGCCTTCTGAAGGGCCGTGGTGCCTTTCTGAATTACACAAAACTAAATTGTTTAGAGATAATTAATCAACAAAAATTAATCCTTGTGTGTTTGCAGTAGGCTTTACTCTACATTGCAAGTTAAAATGTTTCTATAGACATTGTTCAATCCTGTCTCTTATTTTCTGCTAGCGGTTTCAGAGCTGCTGCTCACTGCACATTAAGAAGAGCTGGAATGCACCCTTGGAGAGTTTGTTCCCAATTTTTACTCCATCACTATCCCACTTCCAGCTGAGGTCCACTTGAATGAGTTCATGACCTCATCCACTAGCAAAAGGAGGGGAATTGCTTTTGTTCTGAAATCCCACTCACAAATGTACCAACCTCCTTTGGGGCTGCAGCCCTTAGATTAGGAATCACTTCTTGAGCTGTCCAAAGCAACAGTCTATGGAATTTACATGTCAGAAATTTAGAAATCAGCTCAACTGATGATATTTTGTGTTAATTTAATATTATTTAATCAACCAATATTAATGCTGCTGGTTTATGATCTGAAATCATGAAAGGAAAAGAAGGACTATTAGCTGATTGAGGAGTGATGGAACATCAAAGCATCTCTCCAGGTGATTTACAGGCCCAGAGATGCAGACAGATGAGATTTACTAAACTTTAGACATGGTCTGGCTCGGAGTGATTCCTTCCTACTCATGACTTTTTTGGAATGTTTCTGAATGTGATATCAAAAATATATTTTCTGTTTGGCTACGCCACTGGTATCTGAACCCTGGTCCTTGAGATGGTACAAGCACAAACACCTGCATTTTCTGGTCTTTGCTGGGTAAACAAGTCTAATGACTGGAGATGTTAACTGAACTGATGTGCAAAAGAGAGGGGCAAAGGCAGAGCCCCTTCCTGCCTCTCCTGCCTGCTCTTTGTCTATTCAAGGTGGAAGCTGCTGGGGTTGGAGGGGCCACATGTCTTCTTATGAGTCACTGGCTCCAAATGGGCTAAGTGCATGGATCGTAAGAAATAATCATAATAGAAAAGACTGAGAGAGATAAAAGGTAAGCAACTCTTATCCGAATTTTAGTTGTCATTTCACGCATCCTCCTCACCATCCAACAAAAGTAAAAGAAGTCAACTTTAGCACCATGTCCCAGTCAAGGACTGATTTTGGCAATAGCACCACTCTTGAGGGGATGCATTGCCTCAAAATATCCATTGTGTGGTCACCTACAATCCCTAGGACATGACTTGAAGAGCTTGGAGGTGCTCTGAAAGCCTACCACAGCCCCCTTCCAGCACATGAAACAATTTTATTGTGTATTTGTTTATGATACTTATAACCAAGAAGATACATTAAGATTTTAGGGGCTGATGAGCTTCTGGTCTACATAGGACTGAGAAAGTACTGCTTTTTTGTGGCAATTAATCTTTATATGTTATAGGCACCCTATATAAACCAGGCTCAAAATATCCAAAAAGACCAAGTCATTATCAGGACAAAATTTCATATCAGAAATGTTGAGGCAGAAGGGGATAAAAACGTTCATATTCCTTCTGCATCATCATAAAAGGCTTTCCTGAAGAATTTAAAATAGAAAGCCAGAAGTAATCACTGTAAGCTATGAGATAGTTGTTAAATTTGTGCATTTTTTCAAGTAGCCAGTTCTCAAAGCTGGTTTCTTTTCAACATCGAGAGTCAGACTCTACCTTCTTGAACTCTTGTGCAACTGCGGCAGTATTCAGTGGAATTTTTCCGTGTGTAGTATCATAAAAAACTGACCCAGGCTGTGTCTAACACCAATGCTGCTATTTTTTTGAAGGGTATAGTAAGTTTTATTTTTTTTTCAGGTGGTCCCTTTGCATAGCACAGAATGCCATGAGGTCTGGTGGGATGGGAATGAACACACTTGCATGGCCAATAAACACAAGCTTGTTATTGGGTCATGCATAGGCAGCAAGGCAAAAAACACAAATGTTACCCAAAAAAAAAAAAAAATCAGCACTTACATGATGATGGTTTTCTTGGGCACTTTAGTCTCTTGTTCAGTGACTACAAAGAAAACAGTATGAACAGCATGGGGTTAAAGAAAGGCAAAAGCTGAAATGATTCAATTAACTTTGCTCAGTTAATCAAAATAAACTGGAGTGAAAAATAAACAACTGTACCATCCCATCCATGCTTTCTGTGGTTATTTCCAGCATCAGCTTTAGTGTTTCTGACCAAGAATGAGAATTCAGAATGCTCTCTGAACAGTGAATGACTTAGTTTTGAAATTAAAGATTTTGTGTAGAAAAATATTGCAAAATCTGGGGGTTTTTTTTCTATCATGAGATTTTGACATTTTTGTTTGGCAGCTCAAAGCTAGAAAGCAAGGTCCTTTTTAATTTTTTTTTTCCTATAATAAGGTAGTGATGGTGTGAGAAACCTGAAAATGCCTTGATCTGGAAAATCCTGGAGAGCTGAAATTCTTCAAAATGTGATTTCCCTTACTAGAAAAAATTTCCCCAAATACTGACCATTTTCCAAGCTTTTGTGGACTAGATGCAAAATCCAAGCTGACAACAATGAAAACTAAAATCATTATCATCAGTACAGAAAATCAGCATCAAAAAATCCCCCTAGAAAACCCCTCTAATACACCTGTGTCTTCTCCAACTGTTTTGTTTTTTTTTTGCTATAATTTGCAATTTTTCCTGACCCTTGTCCCATAACAAACTAGAAGCTGTTGGTGCATATCAAGATCAAAAGAAAAGTAATGATTTAATGGTTTTGCAAATATTTCTTTAAAAAATAATTTAAAAAATAAGATACCACTTGACAAGCTAATGGAGATTTTCATTCCAAACCTATCTGCTAGAATAAAATTAAGACTCTTTCAACCAGACTTTTGAACA